TGATCTAGTGGCAGCACAAAGGGAGGAAGAGCAGTGAGCTGGGCGGCTGAGGAGAGCAGAGAGCTTGAGGGGGGCCAGAGGTGCTCCGAGTCTCCAGCAGACAAGAACTCCATAAAGGGGAGGCCTGATGGACGCTTTCCGTGACACCTCGGTTCTGAGAAACTAAGACTGTAGGTCCACGGTCTGACCAGGGCACTGCTTCTGACTCCTGTGTGACCTTAGGCAAGTCCCTGACCCTCTCTGGGCCTGTTTCATTCCCTATAACCCCAGCAAGGAGTGAGGCACCCATCAATATTCTTCTGACTCTGACAGACCAGGGCTGCCCCTGGCTTTTGCAAAGTCCGCTCTCCAGGCCTCAGGAAAAATTTTTTGGGAGAAAAGACCCTTGGTTCCCTGTTAGTCCTGAAAGGCTAGGGCGGCTGGATAAAGGGAGAAGGAAATTTTGCATGGACAATTGGCCACCTAAATGACCCACCTCCCAGATGTCTCTGCCCCTGTAAAGTCCTCTGCCCTGGCAGAGGGCAAGACTGGTTTTCCCCCAACTTCAGTTCCCCAACTCCCCCAGCCACATCTCAGGGAAGGGGAGCTCAGTTCCCCAGGCCCTGGTCGAAATTCTGAGCTCCCACGGGAGAGTTTATGAAAATGTGGCTAGCGGCACACCAAGGAGATCTGATGGGGAGAGCGGCCTCTTTGGTTGCTTGGGTAGAATATTCCCTGTGGAAAGATTTGGAATCTTTTCATTCATTTTCTTCCCTCTGAGGTTTCTGGCAAATTGAACCCTTGAGATCTTATCTCAAGGGAAGGAAAATAGGAGTTCAGGTCTGAGAAAGCTCCTTTGGTTCAGAAGCAAATATTTTTAAAGTTGGGGGGGGTTCTGAAATGAGTTTTGAACAGAGCTCAACGTCAGTGTGTATGAAGAGTTTGAGGTACCAGCATCACATATCTAGGGCTCTGGGCTGCAGGGGAAGGCTCCGGAGAATGGCGTTCAGGGACTTGGAGGTTTAATAGCCCTTGTTTCTGTGTGTATGTGAATGCCTCCTCCCCGCACAAACTCTGCTGATGAAGGTGGGTGTCATAGAGGTCATAGGGAAGTCAGGGCTTCTAGACACAGCTTGGTCAGCAGGTGCACAGCCAGGGTGAGAGTACCCAGCACTCAGGAGGCATCAGTTGGTACAAGTACTGGTGGTTAAGTTCCCAGACCAGTGCAGCCCGTCCCAGCCCTCAGGTAAAGCCAAATCCCGGAACATCTGTCACCTCCTTCCTTCCTCCCAACCTGAGATGCTGGGTCTGAAATGTCCCGCAGGGCTTGACCCCCTCAGGAAGGGTATTTTCTCACTGACTCAGCTGCCTCTTTCCTTTTCCCTGCTTGAGCCAGGCCTGAGGCTTCCTGCCCTCCTCCCCATGCCCACACACTCTGGGGAGTGAGCCATTATCTCAAAGGTCAGATAATCCCAAACTCAGGCCTCATGAACCCAGGCGGTTCTGTCCAGGGTTCCTGGCTGCTGCGCTGTCCACAGGCAAAGACTGCATTCCTTCCTCAGCTGCCACTGAGGTGCTCACGCCAGGAGTTCTCTGTAGAACACTCAGGCCAGTTTTCTGAACTGGTTGGCACCTGTGCCCTTCTCCTGGCGCAGGCAGGAGACCCCTGAGCAGGTGAGCAGGCAGAAGGGGACTTTCCAAAGCTCCTTCCCCAGCCTATGCTCCCTCAGCCCTTTGGAGCCTGCAGACGGGAGGGGTGGCAGGGCACTGCTCTAAATGAGCAGAACCTCCCAAGACAGCCAGAGCTGCCTGCTTGCCACCTGGCCCCATGCCTGCCTGGTTTCCTCCCCTCAGGCCTTTGCCTATGCTAGTTCAGCCACCTGGAATGTCCTTTCCCTTACCCCTACTGTAATACCCAGCACAGAGCTTGATGGCACCAGGCCTTTGCATCATAGCCTGAAATAATCTCCCTCTTCTAACTGGGTTTGGCCATGGCTCATACCTACCTATGCTGCCTGTGGTCATAGTTATGTGAGCTCTGGGTTTATAGCCCTAAAACAGCAGGGCAAGGAGCACCACCCTCACTACCCAGACCACCCTCAGAAATACCTCAGGCAGGACGTCTAACTCTTGCCTTGTTCTGTTTCTTCTAGGGAATCCCAATGCCCACTTTCGGAGGCCTCTTCCCCTACCCCTACACCTACATGGCAGCAGCAGCCGCAGCCGCCTCGGCTTTGCCGGCCACCAGTGCTGCGGCTGCGGCTGCTGCGGCGGCTGGTTCCCTATCCCGGAGCCCCTTCCTGGGCAGTGCCCGGCCCCGCCTGCGCTTCAGCCCCTACCAGATCCCGGTCACCATCCCGCCTAGCACTAGCCTCCTCACCACCGGGCTGGCATCCGAAGGCTCCAAGGCTGCAGGGAGCAACAGTCGGGAGCCCAGCCCCCCGCCCGAGCTGGCTCTCCGCAAAGTGGGGGCCCCGTCCCGTGGTGCCCTGTCGCCCAGCGGCTCAGTCAAGGAGGCGGCTAGTGAACTGCAGAGCATCCAGAGACTGGTGAGTGGGCTGGAGAGCCAGCGAGCCCTCTCCCCCGGCCGGGAGTCGCCCAAGTGAGGGGCTGCCCAGCTGCTCCGCCGCCATGCAGGCCTCCCGGGCTGCCTGCCCCTGCTGCTTGGGACGTGTACAGCACAGAATGGGTATTTATTTAAATAAAGGAGCAAAAGTGGGCTGCAGCAGCCAGAATAGAGCCTCGTCTGGCAAATTGGGGCCTGGGACACTTTCCTGGGTCTCAACAAGAATCAGGCGGCCCGGAACACAGTCGCTTTGGAGCCACCGGACTCGGTCCAGATCTGCTCCAACATTAAGGTGTGGCGTCGGAGGGGGTCTCTCCGGCCTTCCAGCGCAGTGGGAAAGGCCTCATCTCCGGCCCAGCGGTCCCTTCAGAAGCCAGAAGGTGCAGGGGCCAGGGGTGGGGGCTTCAAAGGGTGTCCTAGAGCCCTTGGCCTTGGGGTGGACCGCGTGAGAAACTGGGGTGGAGGATGCAGGAGCCAGTGAAGACTGAAGTCAGTGTAGACTTGAGCTGGGGGACACGTGTCCTTCTAGTCGTCCCACCTCTTCCCCCAAGAGACGGGCACCCGTCCCACCCCTGGGTCAACGGAGGGAGTGGCGCTTCCGCCTTGAGTCCCCAGGGAAAAAAAGATATTTATGAAATAAATGGTAATTTGTGTAAATAAGCTTTAAGGTTCCCAGAATATGCAAATTGGTATTAATTTATTCAAAGGTGTACATTGATGTGTACATATATTTAGAGATTAACTCATAGCATTTAATTTTTTTTTCATTTTACATGAGCATCTATATTGTACAGGGCTGGGGGGCTCTTGGCTGCGGGAGAAGGCCCCGAGCCCCGGAGCAGCCCCCACCTACCCCGCCGGCCCCTCGGCCCCTCCGCCCGGGCTTTGCTCGCCCGGCCCGCGGGCTCCACCTCAGGTTTTCACTTTTCGCTTCGGAGCGAGAACGAAACGACAAAAACGCGAGAAAACAATAAAACGCTACAATGCGAAGTGAACGGCGCTGTGCGCTCTGTGGGCCGCGCGGGGCTGGGGCGCGGCAAGCGCGTAAAGAGGGACCAGCAGCGGGGACAAAAGGTCGGGCGCCCCTCGCTCAGCGGCAGCTGCACCCCGGGGGCGACAGCACGGCTGGGGCCTCGGGCGGAGCCGCGAGGCCCGACGGCGCCGGCGCGGGGCGCGGGCTGGGCCAGGAGGCGCCGCGCCGCCTCGCGCCCCCCGCATCCCCCGCGCCCCTCGCGTCCCCCGCCGGGGCCGGGCTCCCTCTGCTGGCCACTCGCCGCCTGTCCGCCGCTCCTGCCGCTCCACGCCTGGTGCCTGTGCACTGGAGCAGAAGCCCGGCCGAGCGCCCTGGACTCCCGACTCCCTTTTTGGGGCACCGTAGTGGAAATGCATCCCCTCTGGGTGGGTACTCCCTGCCCCCTCTCCCTTCCGAGGAGGGATTTGGCCGTGCTTTCCCCCCAAATACCTCTGACCCTACTAGAGAAACACTTTTTCCGTGTCAGGACTGTTGACTAGAGTGGCAAAATCTGGCCTAGAAGTTCTTCCTAAATCCCTCTTGGGGGTGTGGAGAGTGTAGATCAATAGGCTATTCCCTTTCCTGCCTCAGTTTCCCCTGTATAATAATAATCAGGGTCTCTCTGGGGGTCCCGCTGGGTCAGACTCCATTGAGCTGGTCCTTTCCCTACCACCCACTCCTGCAGGACAGCTGCCACCCGCCCCCATCCGGTGAGCTCCTGAGGGCGCCATCTTCTCTCCTTCTCCTCCTCACTCAGCTAGCATGTGTCTTCAGCCCCAAATCTTAGCAATGGGGGTGGTGAAGGGGTGGGATATGGGCGGTCACCCCTTCAACCATGGGTCTGTCAGTTACCGATCACTCCACCTCGGTCCCAAGTCTCTCCTCTTTGAGCCTTAAGGATTCTTGACGCCCTGGCCGGGCAGGCTGCCTACTTTGGGCACTGCAAGGGGTGGGGGGTCGGGAATAGGGTGGAATGGGGGTGCTAGCTTCCAACTCAACAGGGACACCAGGGATGGTGAGATAGAGGAGTGAAGGTGGAAGTGGAATTGACAGTTGGGCCTCCAAACGCCCAGGACGCCTTCGTGGGCCGACACATTTGTAAGGAAAGAGAACCGCGTCCTCCTCTCCCAGGAGGGCGCTGTCCCCAGGACGCTGAATTCGGCTGGAGGGGGTAGGGGGCATCGGCCAATGCATGAGCGGGAGGGCGCAGAAAACCACGTTCCAACCCCCGGAGCGTGGGTTCCGGCTTCCTTGCCTCAGACCCTGCGGGCGGGACGAGGAAGGGGCGGTCCAGGAACCGGGCGGGGACAGGTAAGCCTCTTTGCCAGCTCGAATGCAATCCCTCGTGGGCAGTGTGTTTATTCAAGGTCGCTTTGGGCTAAAACGCCTCTAAAATTCGTAGAGCAGGGGCGCGTTCGCTTCTCTTGGCTTCTCACTTTCAGCATGACTAGGAGGGAGAGTTGGAGTTGGCTGCGGGCCCGCGACGGCCTGCGGACGGGGCTGCTGACACCAGGGGGCAGCACCGACCTGGGGCCGCGGGCAGAGACGCGAACCCGACGAAAGTGGCTGCGAAGGCCTGGCCAGGCGGCCTCGTTGCAGCTGCATTCTGGTCGCGTCGTTGCTGCAACAACCCGGGTGGGGTGAGGTGGTACCCCAGGGCCTAGAGATTCCCCGCGCCCCCGCCGGAGCCTCCTGCCGCACACACGTCCCTGCCCAGAGTCGCCCACCCGGCGCTGCGCTGGGCCCCTGCTGGGAGCCTCAGTGCGGCTGCGGGAACCTGCGGCCGGCGGCTGGGCCTTGTCCCAGACAAAGGCCAGGCCACTCCCAGGCCCAATTAAGCTACCCGCCTCCCTGGCCTCCCAGCCCTCATTGTCCCCGGGGTCGCCAATTAGCGTAGGCGCCCCGCGTACCCGCTGCTCCGGTGCCCCAAGGCCTCCTTAACCCTTCAGGGCCTGGCACCAGGGGCCCTGGACGGCAACAGCACGCGGGCCTGTGAGGAGGGCGTGTATGGGCGTGATGGGGATTAAGGGGTCGCTGAGGCCTGTTGGTGACCTAGAATGTTGCTGTGGGACCTCGTGTATTGGGAGTGTAGGATCTGAGAGGAAATTGTGCGTGTCAGTGTGAGCTTGTGAAGGTGATTCACGGGAGGATTCGGAACCGAGGGTGTGAGTGTGGGGACTCCGTGAGACCCCTGGCGGCTAAACAGCACGCATCCGAGAGCTAAGGGACCGCGTTTTCTCCCCGGTTAATCAGAGCCTTCCGAGCCCTCACGCCATTCCTTTCCCCCACTCCCCCGCTGCTGCGATCTCGAGCATGAGTGGCCCGGTCCTGCCCTGCCGAAGGGCGCACAGCCTGGGGCCACCTCCCCGGCGCACCGCCAGCTCCGACGCGGGGCATTCCTGGGGACGGGAGGGGCGCAATCAGCCGTGCGCTCCCCAGGATGCCTCCACATAAACCACCGGGCTGGAGGCCCCGACCCCCACCTTCCTGGCTGTGGGACGGCCCCTTTAAGGACAGAGCCTCAATGAGACCTTGATTTAAACTCTGAGCCTGCCTGCCTCCGCTCTGAGGAGGACTCAAACTCCAATCCTGCTTCCTCTCCCTCCTGCGCCCTCCCTGACCCCAAAGTCCGGAGCACCAGCCCGCAAGCAGGTCCCGAAAAAGTCTGAGCGCTCCGTGCTCTGTGGACTGGGCAGCGGCGGAGGGGAGTCCCGTGCGCACTTGGGGACTGGGGCAAAGGGGAGGGAGACCGAGCTCCGGGTCCTCTCTGGGCACTCTCCCGGGAGCGCCTTGAGGAGTGGAGGCTGGTCACCCCTTACTAACTGTTTCGGTGCCTCTGTCCGAGCACGCCTGGGACTGTTTTGCCCTTGGGAGTTCCTTTTCTGCTCCCCACCTCATTTGATGGGTCCCGGGACCTTGAACCCACTCCGGAAGCACCGGATTTCCAGAGCCGGAGGCCACCCCTCTTTTCCTGGCCCCTCCTCTAGGCGCCTCTCAAAGCTCCCCGCCGGGAGCGAACCTGGAGCCCGCGCAGTCCGCGGGTCGCGGCAACTCCCCAAATGCCCACGAGATGGCGCTCCAGGCCAGGGGCCGGCTGCGGCCGAACAGCGCACCTCGGGCTAGAGCCGGAGCTGGACAGAGGGACTCAACAGTGAGATGGGCACAGAGACAGAACCACGGACTGACGTAGATCCAGGCCCAGAGACCGGCACAGGCAGCCGAGGACCGAGGGGTTCCGTACGGGGGCTGCGGATACATGGATGGGGCCGCCTCCCCTTCTCCCTGGGGCCGCCCTGCAGTGCCAACTCCCCCACCTGGGAGGCCCAGTTGCAAACAGCGGCCGGTTGTCTTCTGTGTGCCTGGCTGAGCTGGGGCCCTCGCGATCCCTCTCGGGCCGCGGAGGCCACCTGACTCCAGTCTTCCGGGCCTCTCAGAAGCAGGGCTATGGCTGGAATGGGATACACGAACGGCTCTGGCTGACGACGGGAGCACTGGGGGTCTCCTCACGATGTGGGTGGGAAGTCGAGGCCGCTCTGGAATCCGCGGGGATCCAGTGCTCCTCCCACCGATAGGTCCGCCTCGGCTGCTACCTGCCCGTCCTCACCTCCCTCACCGGCTCTTCAGGGTCGAGGGCGGGGCGTGCAGGATAGGCCTTGTGAAGATGCTCACCTAAGATCCTGCCTCGCAGTAGGCCCGGGTGCCAGAGGCTGTGGGTTTGTGTTATCCCAGCGGGAGGTGGTGGGGAACGGGAGGATCAGGGGTCAGCCTGAGAATCTCTCCCTTGGATTAAAAGCCACCAAGGTTCTGGGTCAGGTTTGATTGAATGGGGGAAGAGTGCGCGTGTGTCTGGTGGCCGGGGAATGCCAGAGTTGGAGTAGGAGTGAGGGATGGGTTTTGAGTCCTTAATGTCCCCAGATGACTCTGGCAACCTCGGAGATTAATCCTACACACATTTTCTGAGAGCACACCTCTAGAAAGCAGCCCAGTTAACACCAGTCTAGGAGCATTTCCACTCCCACAGAGTCACTAGCTTGTTATGTGGCCCCAGCCAGGTGTCTTCCCTGCACTAGGCTCTCAGCTCAGCTCTTTCCCCCTTCAAAGTACCGTATAACAGAGGATAGGACCAAAGTTTTGGCAATTTAATAATTATCTCCATGTCCATCTAGGGCTGAAGCAGCTACTTGGTAGGAAAACTAGACAGGAGATAGGTAGAAGGTCAAACTCTGACTCTAGCTGTGAGACGCTGGACAATATGACTTTATTCTCTGGGCCTCAGAATCCTCATCTGCAAAATAAGTAGTTTGGACTATAATCAAATTGATCTGTGAATGACCAGTTGACCTTGGCCCAGTTTCCAGTGACCCCCCCCCCCGAGCCTCAACTGCCTCAGACAAGAGCCAAGGACTATGTTCCCATTTTAATGCTTGAGGCACCTGAGCCTGAGAGATAGGCGGAGTCCTTCACAGACCTTGGGGACCTTGGCTGTTGTTGCTAAGATTCTTGGGGTGGGGGCAGGGCTGGTGGCCTGGATGAATTCCCAATTAGGAAATTGCATTCTAGGTTCTGAAAGCCTCCTGGGAACGGAACGGCTGGCTCCAGCTGCCTCCACTCCCTGTGGGATGTGGTTATCACGGCTTTGCCTTCCACCTCAGACCAGGCTGCTTTTGCAGAGCACAGACTGGTGGGTGGGGAGGGTGACTTTGGCACCTAGCACCACAGTTTGTTGACTACTTGTGACTTTTCCCCAAAGAGAGAAAGGGATACCAAGGGAGAACATTCAGGCATCCATATTTAAGGGTGTCTCCCAGATCTGGGGTACCCAACAAGCTAATTCCTCACCTGTGTGGAAGGCTTTAAGGCATTCAAACACTTTTGCTGAACCCTCACTGCTGGGGTAGAGATTACAAGTCCCCATTTCACAGATAACGACATCAAGTTTCAGAGAAATTAAGCGAGGTGCCCAAGGCCATCCAATACATAAATGACAGAGTTCTTTCACAATTCCATGGCCTGGCCCTTGGAAACATTAGCTGATGAAGTGACGATGGGTGACGGTCAGCCTGGTAGCTGGGAAAGGGCAAAGGTGCTGGGGGAGTGTCCGGATGTCCTGGCCAGGAGGTGTGTCCGTGGGAGAAGCAGCCTGACTCAGGGCCCAGGTCCAGGAGGCCACGGCTGTCCTGGGACTGGTTTTTATTTAGCTCGGGACTGTCTGGTCGGTTCCTTCATCGTGCTCCAACTTTGGGTCTTATTTCCTTCTCAGAGAAGCTGTCACACTGGCAGGCTTTGCCCTCCCACAACTGCCTACAGCAGTTCTGGTTTTAGTACTGATAGCCTGAGTTCTGGGAAGCCCCTCAGTTCTGAACAAGTCACCCAGTAGGTCACCCTGTCGCCCCCACAGATACCTACACACAGATCCTCCCGACGTACACACATGCGTGCACAGAGAGAGCTGTACGCAGGTGTGCCAACACCCACACAGACACACAAATACACACATCTACACACACCCCCCCCAGAGGCATACTCACTTAACAACCCCATACAAGCACACAGGCACACACACAAACACACACAGACGTGTACACGCAGACACACAGAGACATATGCACATACAGAGAAACACACTCAGACACACAGATATATACACATGTACCTACCACAAAGACACACACACGTAAACACTTGGAGCCATGCACACATGAAGATGCTTGGTATGGGTGGTTTTCCATGGAGAAAACCAGCTCCCCAGCCTCTCTGAGGCTCTGGGGCTCCACTCTGCCCCCAGTTAGCTGGGGCTCAGCCCTTTCCCACCCACCCCTATGCGCTGCCATGTTTTCTCTCCGGAGGGGATGCATGTGTTCTTCGTCTCTGTCTCCTGCAGGATCACTGGCTCCCTCATGAGGGGCAGGGGCACTGGTGTCTGCTTTGCTCACGTAGGTCCCCAGACCTAAAAATACTTAACACGTGGCAGGAGTGCAAAAAGCATTTTCTGAATGAATGAATGAATGAAGTGCACCCTCCGGAAGCAGGGCCCGCATCTAGTCCCTCCAGGACACCTCCACCCAGGCCCTGGACCCTGAAGCCCTGCTCCAAGTCTACTTGGAGTCTGCTGCAGAGAGCTCCTGAGGGTCCCAGACAATGGGGCCTCCTCTCTCTCCTGAGAAACTGAGGCCCAGGGAGTGCATGTGTCTTGCCTGAGGACTTGCCTCTGCAGGAGAAGGTTCCAGGCCATCCGCAGACAGGCACTTGCAGCCCTCAAACCCTGCTCTCCTACTGTGCGGGGTGATTCTCTGTTCCCTCAGAGGTCTGGTGCCAGGGCAGGCCTGCCTGTCTGGGACCCTTGGGGACCCTCCTAGCACGTTTGCCCTCCTGTGTTTCCCACGCACAGAGGCCTATCCTGAAATGCAGCTGAGATGAGGTCGTTGCCCTGTTGAAAGCCCCCCAAAGGCTTCCCTTGCTCTTGGGGTCAACCCCAGCACTACACCCCCACCGCCCACCCCTAGGTTAATCCTGCTGACCTTGCCTCAGGGCGTCCTCACATTCCCCTCTCCCCTCGTCCCTGGCTCTTCCTGCCTTCCTCCTAAACTTGGCCCATTGGCTCCTTCTTCCCCTCTGGGTTAGGTGCCCAGCACATCATTTTGTGTTAGTTGGCAATGAGTCACCGTGGGCAGGTTACTTTGCTCCTCCCCCGTCACTTCCTCACAGTGGAGACGACGACGCTCATGGGTCGACGCTCATGGGTCGTGTGAGGATGAGAGGACATGCTGTTTACAACAGGTCTGGCACAGTGGATGCTGGTTTCCTGCCCTTCCTGAGGAGGCCTTGCCCCTTTGGAGGAGCCTCAGGGAGCCTGAGGATGGGCGCCTGGGGGCCATCTGGGGTGGGGCAAATCCCAGCAGGGTTGAGCCCGCCAGAGAAGGGTGACCCCTCCTGCCCTTAGGCCAGGTGCAGGCCAGTGGGACCCTGCTTTCTGGGTTGATAGGCTGCCAAGTCCCTGAGTCCTAGGATTCTGGCCAAAACCTGGGGGTTTAGATTAGGGGGTGACGCGAGGGCCCTGCGTGTGAGGGGTGAGGCTGAGCAGCGACTCCCAGCGACGAGACTGCTGCTGAGAAAGCTGAGGCCGGCGGCCCTCAGTGCGCACGCGCGCCCGTGCTCCGCCTCCCTCTCGCGGGGAGCCCAGGCCCCGGGAGGCGGTGTTATTGCTGGAGGATGGGTTGTTGGTGACCTGGCTGGATTGATGTCGCCCGAGAGCTGCCTGGGCTGTGCGAGCAGTGGTTCCGTCCTACCACTAGGTGGGGATCTGGAGTCGTCCAGACCTGGAGTCGGGGCTTGGGTTGAGGCCTGAAGCCCCTCGCTCTCCTGCCCCAGGTCAGGGTTCCCAGCCTGCGGGCTGCCACTGTCATTTCTGGTTAGGTCCTGCTGCTAGGCAGTAGCACTGAGGGAAGTGAATAAGAACATGAACTGTGCGGGCAGGGAGACCAGCTGCACCTTTAGCTCTGTAGCTTTCATGCCTCGAGCCTCAAGTTTCCTCATTTCTGAAATAGACTCATCTACCCATTCTGCCCTGATTGCCACCCAGAGTGGGGGGATGGGCGTTGTTCTGTGTCCTCTGATCCCTTACATACGGCAGCTGACCCAGAAGTAGGAGCTGAACCTGGGACGGTTCCTATCTGTTCCATCCAGCACTCACCCAGAGCTCCCTACTCCCAGGGCTCTTTGGGGTCCCAAGGAAGCATGTCTCGTCCTCTCTCTCAGGTCCCCATAGCAGAGCGCTGGCTAGAGGCTGGCTGTGGTGGCTCATGCCTCTACAATCTCAGCACTTTGGGAGGCCGAGGCGGGAGGATCACTAGAGACCAGCGTAAGCAACACAGGAAGACCCAGTCTGGAAGGAAGAGAAAAGAGAAAGAAAAGAAAAGAAAAAGATTAGCCAGGCATGGTGGTGTGCACCTATAGTGCCAGCTACTCTGGAGGCTGAGGCAGGAGGATCACTTGAGCCCAGGAGTTTGAGGTTGCAGTGAGCTATGACGATGACACTGCACTCCAGAGCCGGGCGACAGAGCCAGACTCATTCTCAAACAAAAAAAAAGAAAGAAAGAAAAAAAAAAAAAGCATGGCTAGAACATGGCAGGTCCTTGGGGAGGTGAGAATAAAGAGC